AACGACTACATGATGTTCGCCGAGGATCTGAAGCGCTGAGTAAAGCAAACCGAGGCAGTGACATGAAAGAGAGCGAAAGAAAGGATTTCAGAAGAGACAAAAACTTTATTAGAGAAAGGGAGAAGCATCAAAAGAGATGGAGCCGACACGGCGGATACTGTCTTCTCTGCAACCACCTTAGAAGAAAGCTAAAGAAGTCCATCGATTGTGAAAATCAGAGAAAACAGCGAACGACGCATAAGCTTCAGGCACTGCGGAGAGAGTTAGCGCTTTATTGGTCAACTATCACAGCTGGGAGAAACAGGGGTGGCGCATTACCGTCTGACAGATCTGAGATGCAGTTGCAGTCCATCTGTGAGGACAGTTACTTTCAGATTTATGTGTGAGAAATACGCGTCACTCACCATCACTCGAACGGCTACAAAGTGCGAAGGACGTGAACTTCCGGTCCTCATAAATGAAGCTCGGCAAGAACGAAGCGCATGGAATCATGGAAGGAAGAATCACATAGAAAGACTGTCTGACAACTGAAATGGTCAGTTCAGATTACCAGAGCTGCACAGAACTCCAACTAAGAGTTTCAGATCTATCCGGAAACAGAAATGATAGCATTAAGCTGGAAGGGATAAAAAACAACTGTCCTGTTCAAGAAGGATGAGAAGGGAGACCTGAAGTACAGTTTTCAAATCTGCTTGCTGTCAAAAATGTACAAGCTACTCACCTAAGGTTATCACCATCAGGCTGGCCACAAATACGAAGGCAGTCTAAAGAATAATCGGATTCCGAAGAAACTACAGCGCAACGGATAACGCATTTACCTTAAGTCAACTCTTCGACGTTGTGAGGAAATTCGAACTCTCTATGTGAATTGTGTTCGCCTACTATGAGAAAGCGTTCGACACAAGAGAACAACTCAATGTGGGCTGCATCGGAAGAACATAGCCTCTCTACCGTTTATATCAACCCGCTGAAGGAAGATTGCGTCGTAGACGTTCCGTTGCTCTACTCCTTTCTGAATTCCAATGCGGAAGAGCTTGAACCACTGAGACACCTTCTCCCCCAAAATCTTTACTGCCGATTTGGAAATGGTGTTCCGGACGAGGAACGTGAAATGTAAAATTGACATCAGCTGCAAAGACATCAGACACTTATTATTTGCTCATGGTGTTTTTTCTCTCTCGAAAAATGTCCTTAATCTACAAGATCGGAATCGAAGAGTTCGAGAGAAAAGAGGCCTAAGTCGATCGAGGATTAAGAACTGCGATAGAACGTTTTGCCTCAGGCCAAGATATTATTAAACGGCGAAAAGACAGATGTCGATAAATACGTTCACCTGGACGTACTGAAAAACATGCGGCATGACCAAGTGGGAGAGATTCAACTGAGGGCCGGTTGGTGCGTGTTCCATTCTTATGAAAAACTCCTCCTCGGCAACACCAGGAAGGAAACTCACAACTACCTCTTCAATTCCACTGTGCTTCCGATAATGCGGTGTAGCTATGGGACGTGGTCACTCACTAAATCTGATGAGTGTCAGCTGCCTGTCACCGACAAGGCTATAGAAGCTGGAACGTTAGGAATCTGATGTCGCGAGCAAATCCTCTAACATGGTGACGAGACAGCGGACAAGAGTGCCGGATGCGGTCAACGGCAGATGGAAGAAACTACGGTGAGATGGGCACGCAACTGGACTCATTTGGGGGAGATTGCAGGCGACGATCGTCAGTTTTTGTCTTCGCGGGCAAATGAGACCGCTTGGTTGCCTATTATAATGATGGCAAGATTAAGAGTAGAGCTAGGATAGCCAAGCATAAAGAAAAACGCTTTAAACCGTGAGAAATGGCGGACTTGTTGCTGCCAGTCCAACTGACTCTAATGATCAAGCATTGTTGAAAGGGCATACAGTTTCTGACTGCCACAATCATGGTTCAAAACGAAATCATTTTTATTGGTCTAATCCGTTTAGCCATTTATTTATATAAAGCAGTGCGATAAATAAATTAATCGATATCTACAAAATAATAAATATTTTTATAATGGTGCAACAGAAATAGCAGCATAACTGTAAAAAGCTAGGATTCACGCTGTTACGGTGTTTTGCATCTAGTTAGATCGGGTATTTAAGTAAACAACTGTTCTATATAAGTGGACACTCAGTATGTAAATAGAATGTTACTCATTTCTTTGGTTAAAACAATAATTTCTCTGTCAACGACGATCAACGCTACTCCATATATGCCATGAAATGCGCTTTTACTCTGGAATGTTGTCAGAACCTCTTGATTGAACAAACCGAGTTTCACACGTTACACTCACAGATGCTACTGTTTAAGTCTCTCTGTTGCTATAGATATATATTTAATTAAATGTCAGTCAAGATAAAACATTTGTGTAATACAGTAGACAATGAAAAGGTTGCAATTCTGAACTGGAGCAGCAGACTACCATTTAAAAGTGATTGAAACTTACGCGCACAACTTCGTCTGCAGGTCTTGCTTTAACATAGATAACTCGGCCATATTTTCCTGAACCACTTTGAGGTCCCCTTCCGTCTTCCGCTTGAATTTTTCTGCGTCCTGTCTGAATCTCCTCTCTTTCTCGAGGGACCCTTCAAGCTCATCGATTGACATTTCCAGTTTTGACTTGGCCTTATTCAAGCCAATGATCTTCTCTTCTGCCATCTGAAGATCAGTGGAAAGCTTCGTGTTCCATTCCTCGGCATTTTTCCTCTCTTTGTTTAGCTTCGATTGTTGATCCTCCTGCTGCGTTATGGTTTGCAAATTGCGTTCGTTTTCTCTCTCTTTGTTCTGCAAGTCTGCTTTCAGCTTTTGGTTCTGTCTCTTCAGATCGTCATTCTCGTCCTTCAGAGACTCCAGCTCTGCTTCTTGATTCATTTTATCCTGTTGAAAGCCTTTGTTTTTCACTTCGTACACTCTCAGTGATTCTTGCACCTCCTACAAAACACTCATTACCTCCTTTACACAGATTAGTTCCTACCATCAGCTGATCGTTTAGATTTGCCTGGATCTTGACGCAGCTCTTATTTCGCGCCTCCAGCTCGTCGCACTTTAGGTTCTGTTCATCCAGCTTACTGTTGAGGGCGGCCGTCTCCGTGGTTGCCATATTCAGCGCCCTTCGCAACTCTTCTGAGGCTGACTCGCTGATCTTGAGTTCTTCTTCGAGCCCCTAAACGAAAAAAGAAAATCGCAATCAGTAATTGTCATTAAGTTCTGATAAGTTTCAAGAGTACTTGAATTTTCTGCGATAATACACAGCTCTCTTCCGCTTGTTGCTTTACCTCCCCGGTGTACACCTTGACGAGCCGATACAACAGCCACCACTGCCACGTGCGCAGCTTTAGCCACACTTTTATATTCCTTTGTATGACTTTATATGCATCCCTG